CGCGAAGCTTTCGGAAGGGGCACTAGGCTTTGAGAGTAGTAAAGTTCCGAACTCACCATTGAGCTGTCAGAGAAGACATCAGGGTGGTTTTCATAGATAAATTTCTCCACCCGCATCTGCCGCAGTTTGAACATCTTAGAGCCCCGGTTAGTGAGCAGTGACAGCTCCTCCAACATCACATCCCTTGGGACACTGATCTTCTTGCCCAGGTTCAGGCCCGAGCTCTCCTGTCCACCTTTTAGGGAGGTGGGGAGAAAGAGGCAAGGGAAAGATGGGCTCAGAATGCAGATGTCATCCATAACTCAGTGTGTGTGTCCCAGCAGAGATCACTAAGGGAAGCAGATGCTGTCTGTGACATCTGACCAAATTTCTGTCTAGTTTGTAAGGGATTTTGATTTCCTAGTTTTGAAGTTGGCGAGAATGCATGGGAACTGGGTTGCAGAGTGGAGATAGTGGAAATACTAGAGTAGAGAGAATGAATGGGGTCAAGGGGACATGGACATGGGGTTACAGGGCAAATAAAGTACATCATAGATGGAAGCCCCCGGGGAAGCTGTAGCCTGTGGTGAAGCCCAAAGGCCAACACAGTGCGGAGGTGGACACCTCTTAGCACACTCCTGCCTTAACTCCTTCTCCTACTCTTCCCCTCAGTGAACTCTGGCCGCAAACAGCCTGTGCAGTTTTCCATTTTAAATACGTACACAGGCTCCCTAGCTTTGAGGAGAGAAGTAAGGAAATTAACCATTTATTGAAACCTAACTCTGTGCCGCTCTCCATTGCATATATTTTCTTCCTTAAACATACCTACCCCACTGACCTGTGGGTCCTGTTTTCCTGGACCTACTCTGGGTCATATGGCCTGGGTACTATTGTCTCAGATTACAAGTGTGGAAGGGTGAAGAGTTAGTGTTGAATACTTTCTCCTATCCCACTACCACCATCCCTCACCCGACCCTACCCCTGAATTTCTCTTGTCTCTTCACCCTAAGACATATATAACCTTACGATATCTCTGAGACTCTTGGGCCAGAGATACTCGTAATAAGAAGCCCCATACTAGGCAGGTGCAAATATGCCATACCTCCAGTGAGTTCCATGATCAGCTTACTGGATTTCCTCTTTTTGTTGGGGGCTGGCGTTCCTGAGAGCGGCATTGTGGAGGTAGGACTCAGCCTGGATAGGGTGGGAAGAGGGAGTTGAAAGATGAACAGGGATTGGGAAGGGTGTGCCTACAGTAAGGGCTTCAGGGAGCAAAATTTCATTATTAGATTTTCAACAAAAGAAATTCCCTCAAGTGGTGAAAGCTCATTACTTTAGGGCTTCTCTTCTCTTGAGAGGCAGGGCAGAAACTATAGATGTAGCCCTGCCTCTACCTTCTCCCAACCTCTTTGCAGCTGTTTTACAAAGTGCCAGTGCATGCGTTAGATGCACAGTGTATGTGGGGAGGCAGGGGCTAAAACAAACAAGTAACACGCAGGCAGGGCAATGCACCCAGGTTTCATTAGCATGATTTGAAGTTTTTATTTGCATGGGGATCTCCGATTGGGGCTGTCATACCAAGCTCTGATCTCTCCTCAGTCTTCCCCAACCCCCAGGGGGTCAGAAAAAAATGTTCTGCCAGGGTTGAGATCCAGCCAAAAACATTCTCCATAGGAAGGAGAGGTTGTTGCTCCTCCATTGGGCCAGCTGGAATATGGCCTGGGAGGTCACAGCAGTGCTCCCTGCTCCATTTCAGTCACTCCTATCCCAGACCCCAGAATTGGAGAGGGGTGGGGGGCGGGTCAGGGGACATTTGAACCTTGATGCATGTCAACTCAGCAATATCATAGCAGTGAGAATTTGAAGGAGGACAGGGACATAATAATAGTATCTGGCAGAGAAGGGGGACAAGCTGGAAAAGATACAGACTTCAGCTCCTCCTTGAGAGACATTGGCAACCAGCAAAAATGTTGTTTTCTGTTGAGTCCTGTCCCACAACACATCTGCAGTTCTAACTTAGTGGGGTCTGCTGAGGTCAGAGTCTAGGAACTGCTAAATGGACTCTCCCTGTATCTCTCAGCCTCAAGGTTCTAATTTTCTTCTTAGACCTCCCCCCCCTTATTATTTCTCCAGTGCCTCCCCCCATATCTCTATTCCCCACACCCTTCAGGGACCCTCTCCTTCCAACTCTCTGTGGCTCCCCTGAACTGGACAGCTGGGAGCTGAGCACAGATGGGGGAGAGGGAACTACCCCAGGATCAAGGGTCGCTTCTGCGTTCACAGACACAACGGTCAGCAGAATGGGTTCCAGCCCCTCTGGTTATAGAGTTGGAGACTTACCAGTTGCTTGGGCGGTGGTCAGCTCTCCCTGGGGTCCAGCAGCTTTGGAGGACTGAGCTGCTGTGACTGGAGAACCTGAGCCGGGCAGGCGTGGGGGAAGCACTGGCAGGGGGGGGAGGGAGGGTGGTTATTAATAGAGATGGTGAGCGTAAGCAGCTCAAATGGCACAAGGGGTACTGAGACCCTGGAACCAAGGTCCCGCCCTCCTCGTCCAGAGGCTCAGGAATGACAGAAAGGCCTTTGGGATTCTCCCACCAAGTTGTCTGAGCCAGTCTGCCCAGGAACTCCCTTTGGCTTAACCACTAGAGCAGAGGTTCTCAACCTGTGGGTCGCGACCCCTTTGGGGGTCGAACGACCCTTTCACAGGGGTCGCCTAAGACCATCGGAAAACACATATATAATTCCATATTGTTTTTGTGATTAATCACTATGCTTTCATTATGTTCACTTTGTAACCATGAAATTGGGGTGACCACAACATGAGGAACTGTATTAAAGGGTCGCGGCATTAGGAAGGTTGAGAACCACTGCTCTAGAGTCTGAGAAGCATTCAGGGAGAAAGTGAAAACTGAGAAGGCGAGAGGAGGTAGGCAGCAAATGGGAGATAGAAATTCAGAGAGGGAGAACTAGAACCTGGAGAGCCACTCAGAGCCGATCTGCATCACAGCTGGAAGGACATGTGGGTGCATTTTGGGGTGGGAGAGCTTAAGGCACTGTGTTTGGGGAAGGGATGTCTGTTCACAATGGAACTACTCTTTGAAAGTCCCTGGATGGGTTGATCTTTCCTCTGGGAGGGCCAGATCTTAGCAGGTTAAGGGACCAAATTCCCCAAACCCAGTGCTTTCTAGGGTGTAAGGGAAGATGGGGGGAAGACCTGACCAATTTCTGCCTTTTCACCCCTATTTTCTGTTGGGGTGCTCAGTTCAGCCTACTCTGCAGGATAGATGTTGATGTCTCTCTGAGAAGTGTATGAAGGCTTCTGACCTGCCAAGGCCTTACTCTCTAAGGTTCCTACTTGGACTTTTCTTTAAAGGAACACATACCCATTTGCATTGTTCCAGAGAAACCTCTGGACAGGGGCACTAGCTGGAGAGCCCCCTTGTAAGAAGCCTGTCATATGCCCAGCCCTTTCCCCAGTAGCTGCATGAACATCTGGATCCTCCTCTACCTTCTGCTTAGGTTCTGGAACCCCCTGTGTGGCTGCTTTAAGAAATGGGTTTCATAGCTCCCAGAATAGCCCCCTGTCCCTCTGTGAGCTCTCCACTCTTCCTGACCATGTCCTTTTCCCATCCTAAACTTTCCAGGTTCGGGCTAGGAGCTGAAAGGGCTTTGAGCTTTCTGTAGTTGGCCTCTTCCTAGATCAGTTTAGCTTCTAGATCCCTCATCTTTTGTCTTCCTTCTCCATTTCCTCCCAACCCAAAGAAGCAATTAGAAGAAAAAAACCAAATAGCAAATGGTGATTTCATCATCACTACCATCCTCCCCTCAATAACAAACCAAAATTTTGGTCTCCTGTCATTGAGTGCCTAAATTAACTACCAGGTGATAAAGATAGAATATTTAGCCTATGCTCTCTGGGCCCTTCCTTTGGAATTCTGAGACTGTACTTAGGAGCATCTGGGTCCTCAACCTGGTTATTGGTGCAAATATGCCACCTGCTGGTAAAATTGGAGCAATGGCACGTTTCTTCTCCAAAATCTTTCATTCTAGTTTGCCTCTGGTGCCTTCTCTTCTTTATTAGTCTCAATCTACACTATCCGCCCACTCACCCTCTATTGTTCTTCCCTCTTCCACCCCACCTTCACCTACAGCAGCGGTTCTCAACCTGTGGGTGGCGACCCCTTTGGGGGTCGAACGACCCTTTCACAGGGGTCGCCTAAGACCATCGGAAAACACATATATAATTCCATATTGTTTTTGTGATTAATCACTATGCTTTAATTATGTTCAATTTGTAACCATGAAATTGGGGTCACCACAACATGAGGAACTGTATTAAAGGGTCGCGGCATTAGGAAGGTTGTGAACCACTGCACTAGAGGATTACTCCACACAAGATGGAGTAGCCGCACTTTTTGTGGATTCAGGTGGTGGTAGCTAATACCTTTATAGGTAAGGTATCAAACAAATACTCTTTTTTTAGAAAATAATTTTTATTGATTTTAAA